CCTCCTCCATGTTACCCGCACACTGACAGCCGACTCGCTGCTTCCCAGTAGGGCTCCACTTGAGCTATGGCTTGGCGTGTTATGTCACTTGGTGGTTTTCCCGGAGTATGGCCAATCCACCTCCACATCTTCCTGTACATTTGTTACACAATCGGTTCCTGGTTGGTTGGTTCGCTCCCAAAGATACCTGTTGCTCATCATTCTGTCCGGCCATCTGGACTTCAGCGATAGTGAGAGAAGACAGCAATTGATAAATGTCTGAAGCTTGTTCAAAGTGCCATTCGTGACACAGTGCCAAGTCTCTGATCCATAAAGCAGCACTGACATCATAATGGATTTAAATATCCAATGTTATTTTTCATACTGAGTGTTGTTGATATCTTCCACGAAGACTAGAGAGTAATGAAAGCCTGCCTTGCGTTCCCGATCCTCGCTTTGATATTCTCATCAATTCCGTCCACCAGTAAGTGAAACGATGCTTTCTAGCTGGATAGGTGAAGGAGGTTGCTTCTTTCAGATTTCTCCCATTTATGATGATTACCATCTGTTGGTGTTGCTGTTGTTGTTAGCATTGTTTACTATTATCATTATTTTATAGTTTTCATTTTGTTTATGATCTTACTGTCACTAGCAATACCTAATAAAAACTGTCGCTAACAACCGTGTAATATTAACCTTATATTATGTTTATAAAACCCTAGACACTTGATAGTCTGTAGGCTAAATCGACACTTTTCTGCCCTCAGACATAATTCGTAATTAGCTGTTTTCTGACGCACAATGCGTTTTTGCTCCTTAATTGCTTTGGGGAAGCTGCTACTGTCTAAATAAGTAGCAACTCCTAGAATGCCATCAAAGATAGAATCCGTTAATTGCTGGAAAATAGCTGTATCAGTCTTAGCACTGAGGGCTAACTAGTTGTATTAAAATATTTTTCGATAAGTGCTTATAGTCGACAGCTAGCGACAGCACTCTTAGACTATTAGAAACTTTTCAACCATTTGGACTACTAAGTAAGTCATCTGAAAACGGTACTAGATGACGATGTTCTTCTAGGTCTGCGTCCGGACCTGTAGAGAAATTGGCAAGTATGTGTACAGGACCATTTGCTTGCCAAATAACTTAGATAGGGGATACCCCCAATGAATGGTTTACTACAGTTGCGAAAGCAGCATAATCTAAAGTTTTCATCTCAGCTTCTACTCTATCGTATGGCGTACCGGGCAGGCCATTTACGATCAAAAATTGATGTGATGTTTGATTGCGAACGTAGGATTCCTGTCATAGTTCTGCAAGGTCATAAAGTCTTGAATTCCCTAATTAGACTCGAAGAGTCCATCACTTTAATCCCGCTACAAATACTGTTCAGAGGATTTCTAAGAGCCATAATGTTCCAAACCGATCTGACCCTAACAGATCCAGACTGAAATTATTCAACATCCTAGGCTAGTATTTCAGTAGTGACGGGATAATAGGCTTATAAGAAGCAATGAAACGTTTAGATGGGGAGGTTCGGTGTCTTTAAATCGATATGCAGAATCTGTCCATGGATAACTGAACAGACATTCAGAATGTCATTGTAGAAAATTGGTCCAAGAGTATATGTCGTTCTTCTTTTAATTTGCTGTACAGCAGAACGTGTGTCATGAAGCGGCATGATATACAGTCGTCTCGACGAACTGACGTAAACACATTAGTTTGATCCCTCAGTAAGTACTCCAACAAATAATTAGGAGGTACTCCTGAAACACGTACGACGACGTTATCTTGTATAATTACTTTCCAACAATGACTTCGATTTTGCTAAAAATTTCACTTAAATTACCTGATTTCACTATGAGTTCATCTGATTGGCTGATGTAGGCTGATCAAGGTCACTATCGTGACGATTTAATTGATTGGCTATGCTCAAAAGAATACAATTAAACCACCTACGTTTAATCTCGTTTGGACTGACGCTTTGTTTTATCTCATTGGTAGATACATTTGGTTTGTGATTGTGAGGATTAGACAACAGAATTATTTAATCACAATTCGATATACAGATGTAAGCAAAATACTTTTCACGTATATTAAACTCACAATTTGTACCCGTCTTCCGTATCGTCCTTCTGTGTCCTCCATTTGAGTTTGCTATGTTGTTTCACAAATGATTTTTCATTTTCTCTCAACGTCATTTAATCCATCTCTTCCCTATTAAAGATACCTGCAAATCGGGATTAAATGTTTCAAGCGCACAATTGTCTTCGACAACGTCTTCCTCAGTCTCCACAATTATCAATCCATAAGTACAAATAGCCCATAAAGAAAAGAAACTGTACATTTCTTGGATGTCCTTGTCACCCAAAAGGTCAGACAAAACGTTAAAGTCAAATATCTACAGAAAAGTGAAATGGAACGGACATGCATATAACATACGCAGAATTTGATTCTCTGTCTTAAGCATTGAATAAGACGCATATGCACTATGGATTTTATTGAAAATGAAACCGAAAATCTTAAAAATAGCCTGCAACCAGTTTTGTAAAGAAGTACATTTACAAGAGAACTGATAGAACTAAGTGTTTAACAGAGAATAAGAAAAAGCTTTATGTAAGGGCACAGTGCAAAAGTGATGCATCCAGCCATGTGCTCAAATGTAGTTTGATCAAGCCAATTGAAAGAACTATCATTGCTGGAGGACTACACATCAGTCTCTCAACCAGAACGATACTGACACAGTTCACCAATGATGAGTCACAGAAGACGGCAACATCAGTGCGTGTGTATACAAATTCTACTGCTCATGGGGTGCTAGTTATATAGAACGAACGCAAAGTCATCTATCTTCATACGCTCGTAAACACGCTCCTGTGTAGCGTGGAAAAAGTGTAACCAAGTCAATAGATAGTACCATTTCGTCTCACCTAGTGGATTGTGTATGCCGCATCAAAACAGATGACTCATTCACAGTTGTATATCGACTACCAAGCTATTTGCCTAAAGGCAGAAGTTGACCTCCTAGCTATACCTCAAGACAAGGAGATATATGAGTAGAAACCTAACCAATATGTTTCTAAGAGTGATTTCACCCTACTTGTCCACCCTGGTCTACCATCAGGTCAGTAGGGACATAATCATTCATATTTTCATACAAAATTATGTCTTTCTTATTCCTTCTCACTTTGTTTACTTCACCACATTACTATCCTTATTATGTGTCAACCTTTGTGATCTACACTAAGCTTATCATGTCTCAAGTATTTCATTACAGTTCACAATTTAAACTATATTTTATAACTAGATTCGGTATCTGTGGGCCCATGAACTTTCATTCGGCTTTCTTTTTATATTTGTATTTGTTAGAATGTATTTTGTGTTAATCATATTTCCCTCACACCAATGAATATAACTCAACCCCATCACCCACCCACCCTCAGCGAAACTTATATACTGTTGACTATAATTGCAATACATATCTAGAACTTATATTCGTAAGATATCAGTGAAATTGAAATAAGTAAATCCGACGTTTCGTTCAGCAAACTAGAACTACTCAGTCAAATCTTGATCACAATTCATGTGAATTATTAATACATGTCACCCAGTTGTCAGTTCACATTATGTCTTACGTTCTGAATGACTGTACACTTTATAAACATTCAGTTGACAGTATTAACTAACGAACTACCATTCCATAATATACACGTACCCTGATACAGATTCTGATAGAATTTTCACTTGCCCTTACTGGCTACTTGTCTTGTAACATTCCTGGATTTATATATACAATATATATACATATATATAGAGAGAGAGCCTGGTGAAGCAGTTATCGAAGACGATTCCTCCCTCGAATCCATCTTGTTCTGATTAAACTCTAGGGATTTTTAATGTACACGCAAATGACATACATTTAAACACCTATATTTATATACTACTTATAAGTCGTACCAGTAGCACACGCTATAGTCATCCGACTGAAAACCATTCGTTCATTATTATTTTCATTTGCTTATACAATGAATTGCATCAAACTCAAGTCAGGCGAATATCGATATCCATTTTTATATACGTAAATACAGTTCCCCTAGACTGATTACGTAGCATTTATTTGACACTGTTGTATCACATGCTGATTACGACTTTTATTATTGCCCTAGTCCTTGTTTATTCTCTAATTGTAATAATTCTCTTTGTGATTGCGTGTAGATCCACAATATGATATTTAATGATATGGATGTGTTTGAGTGAATGAAGGTGATTCTGACCCGTGACTGTCTGTGGGAAGCCTCGTTGTGTGATCCTTGTACAGAGAGTTTATCATCCCACATTGTTGAGAATACTCTCCTTGATTCAAAGCTATGTTTTACAGCTGAATTCTGTTTAAGTAATTTTCTCTTATAGCATTTGTTTTGCATTTAGATACCTACATTGCATGTAGAGCTTGATACCTCACGTCACTACTGAGGTAATTTTTAATTTGATGTGACTTCTCTTCAATAGAATCGCTAAAATATTGAAGAATAATCATTTTTTCCTAGCCTCCAGAACGTTTCGTGATAGCGTGTCTCAACAAAGTTTTGTCAGCTATACAGTAGAACGTAGAGATTGGTTTCTCGAGTTCAGACCAAAATCGAATAAATTTCGTCGTGACCAAAATTTGGCTTAGTAATCTGCAAACATACCGTTAAACGTATACGAATAAATGTATCATGGTTGGATGCTTTGGTCGACAGATTTTCCTTGAATGGAAATATATTGCCATTTACTTGTTGAAGCATTGTAAGAACCACAAATTCAAACAGATAACATTAGACATTTAATTGAAGGTAAGAGTTTATTTAATAATGATAATAATAGTTATAGTAATAATAACAATAGTAGTAATAATAATAATAATGGTAATTATAATAATAAGCTAGTTAATTACTAGTAATGTGTGAATGAATGTCAATAAATTAAGGAAACCAGTCATTATGTGATGATCAAAACATTCGAATTTGTCAATAGATGAAGATTCATTCAAGTGATTTCAGGTATCTAAAGACATCATAGTGGAAAAATTTAAATATATGGAATTAATAAAGTCCAAATACAAACATGTTTTAAACGAATTCACTTTCATATTTATTATTTGAATATAACCTGACTAGAGAATAGGCAATTTGTTCGGGTGGTGAACATTTACAAACTCAGTTTGTTGGGAGTGGAAAACAGCACTACCATAGACCATTCCATTTACTGCTACCATAGAACATAAATTATCGAAAGAAGAAGTCTAATTTTAATAAGAAGAAACGAACGGTATTCTTCGTAACAATGCTAGTTTTCATGCTTGTCTATCACAGGTTAATATCTTGTTGAACAGCTTACTTTGTGTCCTTTGCGTAGCACTCTTCTGAACCTAAAATTCAGTTCAAATATCAATTAAAATAACTTACTTCATATGTAATTGATATTATTTTTGTTATAAACATTAGGTATGTAGCATTATAAGCCTGAAAAACATGTTTTATTACACAATAATTTCCACAAAATCCCAGAAGTAATACCCCCAATGTTATTACTCAAACACGCTTTCTTCCTATAAAAGTTTAAGTCCCATTCATACTCAGTACATTTATTCAAACCCCCTCCAGTCTGATGGTGTTACATTTGAAAATTTCCTTATCGACATAGAATTCCGATGTAAGGAGTGAGATATCCAAAAAATGTAGATACACAGTCATGTTGATAATGCCTAGATTTATTGTCCCTTGCAAGCTGGCGGCTGCGCTAAATATAGCGAATCGGCACACGCTGGGATATATGGGCTAGTCAGTGGACTGATTCCAAGTGGCTTAATGGTCTACAAGGAAACCAATACGTAACAAATAAATCTATGCGGTTGAAGAGGTCTTCCTGTTAGTCTGTAGAAGACTAACTTGTGTCATTCTCAAACTGTAAGGCCTCTTATTTCATATTCTTTATAATTACCTAATAGATTCTGAAATTTATTTTGTGCCCTGTTGACTGCTCAAAAAGAGATTGACTCTGAAGCAATCGACAAAGGATTTACACCTTTCCCAAATTAGAATTAACTATTTTCAGAATGCTAGAAGAAGAAATAAAGTAATCGCCTAGTTTCATTCTCCTACATCGAAGTCATTGTATAAAGCAGTTAATAAGCTCTAATTCGAACTCGATTGTGTTGTTACCGGAGCTACGACCTAAGAGACTATGAGTGAATACTATCTGAACGCGCTAGCTAATCTATCCTAATCGCACGTCAACAACAACAATAACATCACCGGTAAGCAAAGACAAAAGAAAAGACTGGGCGTCGATAAGAAAGGTTTTACTACCTCAAACAGCAGTCAGAATGCTAGACAGAAAATTTTTATAAATACTGTAGAAATGGTCTTGCAAATGAGGTCATTCAGTGATGCGTTTAAAGTATCAGGAGCCAATAGGAATCCTGCAATCCAAACAGAGGGAAAAACAAAGGGCTCACACCGGTGAGCAATAACTTCCTAAATTAGTCATTTTAAGGTCTTATGCAACCTAAGGTGTATATGACAGGACGCCATGAATAATACACATATATTTCACATTAATATACTAATAGGTAGAATTGTTAAAAAAGATAGCCAGTAATTTCAAGGACTGCCCAATATCTTTTTTCTATTTATTGAGAATAGTACAACTGATCCTTCAAATTACAAACAGCCCAATTAATTTATTATTTTCCAGTACCCTTTGATTTCAACAGATAGTAAAACTTCTGCTCCTGCTTAAGTTAAAATTTATCATATATCATATCATTCATCTCGTTTAAATCTTAATATGATAAGAACATAATTAAAAGGTTTACTCACATGAACTATAACCTGGGTTGTCTGAAGTTTTAAAACAACATAAACGAAGTTTGTGTTTAAGTAAACAAATATACAAAAACAAACAAAATTTTGTGTTAGGTCTACAGACTATTCTCTCTCTCTCTCTCTCATTGTCTCATGGAGTTGGTGTTAAAAGGTTTAACCTGATTTCATATTGAGATGAAGAGAATTTCTTTCGCTTTTACTAGACAAAGAACAAGATCCAAACTTTGAACACTAATCTCAATTCAGTCACCATTTCTACATGGTTCGAAGACTCAGTAGGCGAGTTACAAAACGCAAACAACCCAACAAGCTGTGCAATTTCCCTAACACAAGCTCCTTTAGCTTGATACTAGAAATCAGATCAACAGAAAGGATTAGCAACAAAAACGTATGGTGCCTAACCAGCTAATAGCCAACTGTTGAGTTTATTGTATAGAAAAAATTGAAGATGAAATGAACATGCATACTGAGGGGACCATTTAGTGACGTCACTCGTCATGCCGTCTAGGTGAACCCGAATGGGAAATACCGAAGTGGACGTCGGAAGGTGACCTGGAAAAAGCTATTAAGGAGAAAATAAAAGCTTGTGTGCACTCATGAAGCTCGCTTGAGAAGAATTCAGATGACTGAGTGAAATCAAGATGTGTTGATGAAGCTCCATATTCCACTGGGAATGCAAAGAACGAATAAGATAGAAAGTATGGAACTAATTCTCTTTTCTGAGACCACTTCAAATTTCTTTTTTTCACTAAAATCTTAAATAACTACTGAAACGCTTTCGCATCAAAGTGCTGTTCAGCTGTTCAGAGATATCATTCTCAAAAGCTGCACAATCCTCATTTAAATATACCAGATGGCCCTTATTATGCAATCCAACTGGTAGCGAAGGTCAGATATAGAGCAGAAGCTCTTACCCTAACCCTTTACCAGAAATTTGTGTGTATGAAAGACATAAGTTACACTTTTGCACCTTCTACGATCTTGGTTTCTCATGGCTAAGTATTCCTCTGAATTTGTTTTATTCCCATTATATATATTTTTCATCTCTAATAATAAAATGTTATTTCACCCCGTATAAAAACATTATTTTACAATTAACGCAACCACTATCATACAGCGGATATTTTTGGTTTTTATGTCTCTTCTGATTTACATTGAAATGACACGACATTGGCAAACTTCTATATAAAGCTCGAAGTTATTATATCCTTTAAATTTCAACTTTGTTACAATGTTGAATTAAACAATAATTCCCATATTGATTACTGAATCCCTTTCTATCTAATTCTCTACATACTCCTGTCATTAACGTTTATAGTAACAAGATGACTGGCAGAATTACTGGCAATAAACAGTCAATAACTGAATTGAAATAGATTTTCTGGAGATATCTGCCTTGATTTGTGATTATTGAAACCCCGAAAACGTTCACTGAAATACAAGAACAACCTTTGACTCGTTTATATCCTTCTAAAGAAAAGAATGATGATTTATAATGCTCAAGTTAATAGCTAAGTGAATAGTTTTTCAACCCATTCTATTTAGGCATAAAATTTTAATCAGAATATGCAGCTTACGGCAACGTGCATCAGCTACTTCTACATTTGCTGCAAATATTTTCAAAATTAATAAAATAATTCCATTATCCCATAATCGCAATAAACATTACGTCTGCTGATGTAATTTTTATCAGAATCGTCAATTAAATTTTAAGAAATAAACTGAAATGCTTCAAAGGTATATTTGACATAAACGCTTAGGCTTAAATAGCTCTGTTCGGCCTACGTAAGCGTCATGACAGTTGGGCATAGCGAAACAGAATATCTTAAATATGCATATATGTACCCAATTTTCCAATTAAAATGCATTACTTACCACATTCTTCAGTCGGAGGATCTGAAATTATTCCAAAAGTATGTACAAATTCTTGTTACCCCATGTTAGCAGAGGTAATTTAGACAAACATTGCTCAACGGAGGGTATGAGTTGAACCGAAAAGATTGAAAGGTATCTATCTGACAAAACTACGAGTAGTTAACCCTAATACTAAACTTCTATTCAAATTCCCAGTCATATTCAGGTCTGTTTCTCATCTAAAAGCCAATTAAATATCGAACTATCTGGTGTTGATAGTGTAAGCAATTTATTTTAGTGTCGATGAATTAATTCCGCTATTACTATAAAAAGTATTTTTCGGGCTAGTTCAGTAGTGAATGACACTTGTAAACACCATCAAAAATAAGATTGTACGAAAATTCATCAGAAACGCTAATGGCTTAAAATTCATTAATTTAGAAAAATGTATTTAGTATTTTGTTTGCATTCGTTTTCTTTCTGAGTGGGATATAAGGCTTCAAGCATAACCTTTAATATTTTAGTAGAAGTACTGTTCTTCGAAATAATAAAGTTCCGACACACTGTCACACTCCAGTGCTGAAGAGAATAGAAGAAATGTATCTGCTTATGATCTTCAAGAAGAATGAATACCCACAGAATTTCATCCAAAAATGTATAAATACAAATCAAAAACACTAACAAAAAAGCATCATCAAAGACCAGAGGAAAATTCACTCTACAATATATAAAGTATTTCTCTATAATGAAGGCTAGAAAATTAAAACTATTTAAGACAGAGATAGAACATTAGTTAACGCAGTCACTTCATTCAATACTGTGCAAACCATTTGCATGCCAATTACAAAACAAATTATACAAACTGCGATAAATTCTAAGTTCGTCAGAGTGGATATTCCCTTCGATTCAGAATTCAAGAAAATTAATCACTTCTGAAAAGGCACAACATACTATATTATTTCATATCAATACATGTAGACAATCACGGGAACTAGTTTGAGTATAAGAATGTGGAAATGTGAAACAGAGAAAACACCAAAACCGCTAGGGAATGGTCAGAAGCCTAGTTCACAGATAAAATGCAGGTTAGCAATCACATTAGCACAGATAAAATTTACCAACTAATGGAAAATGAATCGCCTGACAAAGTTCAAATTCCAGGTCAATGGAAATGATCGCTACTGATGCAAACTGACAACCTATCACGACAAAGGTTGTTAGGTGATACAATTATATAATTCATGTTGAAATAAAAAAAATTCACTTCGTCATAAAGATTGAGCTGAGGATATTGTCTAGGAGGACGACGAAAGTTTCACAACTAAATCAACCAGCTTTGAGAACACAACTAAATGAAGGTGATATTCTTTATATGAGGGGAGCTTGTTAGACTCTGACTAAACCTTCCCTCTTCTACCGGCTAAATGAGGCGAATGAGTACACCAAATGGAAATCAAACATGTACACAGTGATTGGTTGACGCCACCATACCTAAAAATGAAACACCAATGCAAGTTTTTTAAACTTTAGCATTAATTATTCTGAACTAGTCCTGCAACTGTATTTTGCAAATACCCAGTCGTATACAGAATCAAAAAGGTTAGATAAGTTAAATGTATTATTCTGAGCTACTTAATGAAAGTATTAATTAGCTCGAATCCAAAACTCTCTCATTTGCATATAGAATTAACATTTTTAAACAACCATTATATTTGTAAAATCTCAGTGAAATTAAAGTAAGTAATTACAACGTCTCATTCGGCAAACTGATCAGAACTTCTTCAGGAAAATTAATCTATATTAAAAATCTACGATCATTAACTTAAAGTCGACCATAATCACTGAAATTCTGATAAAACGTTTACTCTGTTTAAAGTGTTTAGCAAAAGTAGACTAATATTTGTAAATTTGGCATCAGATTTTCATAACAGCTCATAAAATTTCGTTTATTATATTTTCAAAAGTTGATTGTAAGGATTTTATGTGTTTTTTAAATTTGACCACGGATTAATATCAGTTACAGAACCACTGAAAACCAGGGAGTAGTGGACAGCTGTTTCACCCTAGTTTGAGAATCATCGGCAGTAGGCACGCACTGATTGGGGTTCGAACCAAGGACCTTCGGGTTATAAGGCAAGCTCGTATAGCATTCAGTCACTGGAACTCGATTCAATAGCCAACCTATGAATTCCAACTTCTACCAGCGAGTGTCATCGGAGGATGATAACTGTCTCATGACTCATACGATTGCACAAAGATTTAAAAAGCAGGAGTTGTCCTTTTTATATATAATCCTTTGTCGTTTTAATTTCAGTTAATTTTCTTGTAAAAGTTCGGACTAGTTTGCCTTGCAAAAAGTTGGAATTACTCACTTCACTTTAGCTAAGATTTTATAAATATAATTTTTACAAATGTTTATTTCTTACTCTGCGCCCAATTATTACAGAATTATTCTGTCAAATCTCGGTCAAAGTTCATATGAATAATATGATTTATGGTTAGAAATCATGTAAAAATTGTTCAATATTTAATACTTTTCTTTCTTACATGTTTTGGCGCAGCCAAATAAACCTGAAAAAATGTCGCAACACAAAAGCAGGATTTACAATAAGCGATATTCGTATTAGTGGTATAACAACGGCTTTGAGTCATTAGAGCTAGGAAGAAAATGCGCATTTACTCAGACTGTTTATTACTCATTCACCCTTATATCATTAGATCAAAACTAATCTCTGAATAACTATCAATTTTTGCAAAAGCGTAATATTTAAAACTATTCATGTTAAGATATGTAGAAAATATCAAAGCGTGAAAAGGGCAGTTAAATGTAGATCAGCTTAATTGAAATACGGTGTACAACGAAAGGGATAAGATTAAGTATACCGTTAATCCGACTAGTTCAACATTCTCTTAACCTGTGATAAAATGCAACAAGGGTTATTAGATGGAACAGTTTGTCTGTATGTTCCTCTTAACCGAACTAATTACAAGAATGTTGCTCTATTGGAATATTTACTTTCACCATATAATTATTATTAAGTGGCACTAGATAATTGCTCAGTCAATATACGTATATATGTGATAAGAATAACGATAATTAAAATGTTATAAGGGTTAAAGTTGAAGTGGATAAGTTACAAAATTATTAAAGATTGTTTTATCAGTGAATTGATATCGAAAATGTCAAGTGTTGTCTAAAAATTTTAAAAAATGCATAGTACGATTACGATAAGAATGAAGGTGTGAAGTGAAGTGGAAAGAATTCAAGTGGTAAAATAAAATAAAAACTAGAAAGAACATTACTATGGTAAAGAAAAGGGTTTGACAAAACGTTTTTGAACACATAATTTAGGCTTCTGTTTATGTATAGCTAAAGCTTCGGCTATGCATAAGTAAAGAAAACGTAAACTTTTGGATCGATTCGATTTTGCCATGTAGATAACTTGGAAAGATGAATCACGTGGAGATAAATCACCATAATCTAACAGGTGATCACAAATAGACGACTTCGCAGTTCTACGTTTGCCCGGATAGTGTTCATCTGCACGTTTTCGGAGATTACGCTTAAAACGTCCAATATAAACACCTCCAGAAGAGCAGGTAAAAGAGTAAATGCAAATAGATGTGGATGTATAAGCGTTCCAACGAGATTCGAGCCTTAATATCTATCTTTTCTTTACGGTCAATTTCTATTCTAATTGTTTCACTTTATTATTAGCTCCTACTGGACTAATGATGAAAAAGTATGGTTTTACGACTGTAATTTTGTTTCAATGTATTCAGAGTTGTGCAATGAGGAGTGTTTGACCTTGAACTGTTAGCGGGAAACGTATCTGATGTGCCTGATTCCTGCAGACAGAGTCTTGATTTCATTTGTTTGTGAATATTCTGCTTGAAGCTCAGGTTATCTTCTGATCCACTAATTTCATTGCGTAATATTTTTTTCTACCCAAGAAATTCTTGAACCGTATAGCTGCCAAACGTTTTGGCGCGCAAGCAGTAGTATATATGTACAAACATAAGTAGTATGTAGACCCAGATTGACAGGATGTAGCCAAAACCAAAAGGCCCATTTTAATTCATTGGCTACAGAAGTGGGAATGTTTAAGTTGTGATCAGTAAGTCAACAGCCAATTAAAACAGTTCATTATCCGCTGACCTAGCTGGCCTTAACTGTGGCTGAAAATGTATATACATAATGTTATTTTCTTTATTGAAAATGTCCATTATCACATCTTTTGTCTTCTCACGTTGCAGTGACACCACTGAGGTAATTGCATCCTTTTGAATCACACACTACGGCGTATAACTTGATTTATGCCACTGTTAGGATATTTTGGGATTTTGAATCACTCACGGAAATCTGGTGAGCAATACAAACGAACGCATCAATTGTACCTACGCTTTCATACCAGAATGTTTTGGTTTTGGTCTTTGGAGGTCATAAATTTAGATCCCTAAATTTAAGTGGTTTCGAGTTGATCACATTATGTGATCTGAAAATTTTAATTTGTATAACTCTGGATCTAAAATATGCTTGAATCACAGCATTCTTCATTTTCGCCGGAATATTTTCAGCAATAAGTGATAAGTTGTTCGTTCTCTGTGTCAGTTTACTCAAATACTAAAATTCCTTCGAAAGCCAAATATCGAAAAGAAATCGTTATTGTCTACTGATAGGTGCTTAAATGACCAAACACCTAAAAGTTTATAATAGGGAAGTAAAATGAGATTCAAGAAAGGCATTGCTGATATTGAGTAATAACTTTCTGAAAATCTTCATGGAGTTCATTTCAGGTAAACACCAATTTATCATAATTAATAACCTCATAATAACTCACAACTAATTAAAGGTGCATCTTCGTCTAAAACATTTTATAATTCTTTGTTAATCAATATCGTCACAATAATTACACGAATGACATAATGAGATAGAACATCTTTAGTCTGTAGACTTTAGTCGAATAAATATTTATTACTAACTGCCTAAAATACTATTAAACATTAGTTACACACACAGTCATTAAAATTCTCCTGGTTAACTGATGATACTCTATCTGTGCTCGAGAAAAACATCTCGTTATATTACACAATATTTTAGGAATTAAAAAGTAGTCAGTTTGTCTAATTAACCTACACTCACAGCCAAACAGTGATCACTCCAAAACTCAGAAGGTATAGAATCATTTTCAACAAATTCATCTAAAGCGCGTCAGTTACGCCTAACTCGAACCTTCGAAAGTGTTGACTTCAGTTAGTGAGAAGAAAACTTTCACATAAAGTTCTATTGTGTCTCATAATATAACTACTAATAAAAGTGAACACATTATTGAGCTTACCGTGCTGACAAATAGTATTACCTTGGAAGCAGAAATGAAACTTTTCACTAGGAATTTGTGTAATATAACATAGACACGAGGATTCTAAATTAATTCTTCCCTCATTAAATGTCTTTTGTTTGAAATTATTGTCAGTTGTCAAGAATGATAGCACTTATAATTTTAATGGCAATAGTATAAAACATTAATATGCAAATACAAAAACACATCGTCAAGTCTAAGGATTGTCAACAGAAATTCACTACCAGATAACCAGTTTGTCTTGTGTGTGTCTGAAGCCAGTAAGTTTTTTGACAAAGATTTTGCTTAATTAATGTTTTCTCCATGCGGACAAGACTGAATAGGAATTTGTTCGAGAACTCCAAAGACTTCAACTCTTAATTCACACGAACTCTGATCAAGTTTTTCATCAAATAGATAAATGATAATTTGGAGCTGAGTGAAAAGCTAACATATATAAAACCGATGTTGATAGAAATCTCAGAGAATTCGTATTAAATAATTCTAACGTCTAGTTTGGTAAACTGGTCCGTTCTCCTACAGGGAAATAATCAGAATTTAAGTATCAAAAGTACATATAAATATATTTTGAAAGTGAAAAAATGTAAACAGAGCCACTACAGTCAATCCTTCAATACATAAGCCAAAACGTTTCTGTAGAAGATCAGTTCTATCAGAAGCGATACCATTTCCTGTCTGTACGAAGTGTAGAAGTATCTCTGGTATGTTCTCCAACTGCTACAAACGCAATTAGTTCTTCTAGTCAAACACTAACAGGAGGTAGGCCAAATGTCAAATGTTCGCTCTGAAACAATTGACTAAGGTGATAATCATCCAAAATATACAGCAGATAGTGCTTTAGAATTTATTACATGGGAATAAATCCCTTTCATCTGCAGTGAAGACCAGTAAACAAATCATCACAGCATCAAAAGTACTTTTTCTAAAGCTGATGGTTTGTTGTACGATGAATTTTACATGTTTTGCTGAATCTTTATTAAAATGTCTTCTATCTCGCAAGTTCAAATAAACATGAAAACGTTAATCAGTCATCTAAGTATACAAAATGACAATGTCTATGTGTGTTATCCATCAAATGATTAATACTGATCTGTGTAATTAACACAGCACTAAGACGACGTGACTACAGTTTTTTTCATCTATAATGATTGCCACCATGAATTCTTAGATTCATATACCTTTGATTACCAGGGAAACAGTACCCATTATGAGTTTTGGCTAACCATGGAGACAGAAATTTTCGATTCATTTTATCTCCTTAACTGATCTGTGCTTTCAGTCAAAGTAAACATTTAGACAAAGTATCTATCGAAAACAGTCATCAAGGAAATTATTCATAATGCAATACTAACAGGGATGCCCCGAAGAATAATTAACCAGCTTATAGTTCCTTTCACCTTCCAATAAATTTTAGTTAATGAGAAAGAAAGAAGTAGTTCATCGGAGAGGATCTTCATTGAAGTCATTATTTTACTTTCATTAATTTTAGTTATTCATTAGTATATTAGATATTACAACCATCGATTCAAATCTGTGAGTAAACTAGTGGCCCAAATATGTGCGAAAATTCCACATAAGTACTCAGCTGGATGTAACTCAACTATGTTAAACATGGCATGCATTAACTACTGATTTAGAAATAACTTACACATGTAGGCATTATGAGCTGAAAATAAAATTACAGTATTTTACAATCGTATATCAATCAGTCAGCCCTAAATTAAAACTTATATTAGTCAAGCAATCTAACATGCTGAACTGCTTGCAAATCCACGTGAACACTTTAGAAAAATGTCATTGTTGAGATGAGTAAAATAACATCATCATACTTCGACTAGAAATCTAACAACATATCTGAAGACTGTAATATTTAAACCTCATTACCTTTCAGATTCACAATTTGCAAAAACTAGTTAGTTGTTTGTAATGTACACAGTTTAAAGAGTGAAAATTCCTCACAATTTCCTTTGGGAACCAAGTTAATCAGATCACACGCAGTGCGTAATCTGCTTGATACGACAAATTTTAATCAAGAAAGGGGTCATATATATGTAAAACTGTATGCCACTGCTTGACTGAGATGAACGGTTGCATAGCACTCATATCAACCGATTGGGTTCGCTAACCAGAATGGAATATTTAGAATTTATGGTGAAACCGACCATACATTCATAGCAGATGCCTGAATTTATACTGAATCTCTATTTTTTAAAATTTTTATTCCCTCGCGTTCCCATTGGAACACAGAGCTTTAAGCTAGAGCCTTGAAGTTTCGGTAGCAGTGATTTTTATTCTTACAGGATGTGGTCACTAGCCTCATGCCCAGTCTTCTCTTTTTACCAGTCTTATTACTGGCTCAGAGGGAATTAGGAGTGCGTCAGCGCGGGATCGAAACCCGGATGACATATATGGGTGGCGAACATTCTACCGCCGTGCCACTAACGCAAACTAAATCTCTAAGCGAATGTTAAACAGTAGAAGAAGTCCTAAAAACTATCTAGAAATGGTTGATTCAAAACTCAAAGAAATTAAAATCTGACTTTCAAAGTTTAAATTTGCACAATGACAACAGATGTATGGTTTTTCCAAATCACCAAACGGATCTGATATTATCAGCTTGTGAATTCTTATTGATACCATCAGTATATGGAACACTTGAAGAAATGTCATGTATCAACATGATTTCTAATTTAGAATTACTTGTGTTTCTGGTTGGTATTGGTAGAATTCAGAACGAGTGTTTCGTACTCATTGAAGCTCATCATGACCCTAATGAGTCAGAACACTAATAAGCATTCATATGCAAAGAGATACAGCTAACAATTTACAGATAAAAACAAAGGCACGTAGTAAACACAGCTGCTAACCACCACCGAATATATATCCCAAATTCACTACGTAATTTTTAATATGTGAAGTAATTTAACAAGTTCCTTGTATTGATACAGCACAATGGAAAGTCACCATGATCGTGTAAGGAAATTCCACACAAGATAATGCGTGTTTGCCCCAAAAAATAACTCCATTCTCACCCTTTTGACATTCGTGTTAATAAACAAGCTATCAGTATTATCATTCATCTGGATCCTTGAAGGCAGAAATTCGTTTTAAACAAGTGCACATGGGCGCAAAAACGTGTTGGGCTCAGTTAGAATAAAACAACATAACACTGAGTATCTCATAGATACTTTGGAAATGTGACGTTGATTGTGAAAATAATGTTGCCTTAGACAATATTAAGCAACTTACTAATCGCTTTACAGTCATCTCGACCTTTAAAAATGTTGAGCGATTACAAAGTGAATATAAGAATAAAATTTGGTCACTGTTGCAGAGTATAATTCCACCTTTGAATAATTTTTCTTTCATGAAAATACACAATGATACAAGATTTTTATTACATAGATTTGTTCCATAGCAAAAGGTGTGTTGGGAAATGCAAGATAAACCTTCATTTAAGCAAAGTCATTGTGGAAGACAATTGTCCTCAGTATGCAGTACAAGATTCAGATTCAAAACTCTAATATCAAGTAAGTTCTTCAGTGTATTTCAGAAACTCAGCGTGTCGCCCAAAGGATTTTTAGTAGGTTACTGAACAACTTCATCAACAGTTGTCTCCTGTTGATAGGGAACGTAAGATGGCCGGTAGTCGGGAAAGGTTAAGTACTAATGAATTCTGGCAACCAACAAACCAAGGATCTATCTTTCAGTAGATAAATAAAAGGAAGTGGCGATGAATTGGATACAAACTGAGGAGGCCTTCGATTAACATAATGCATCAGGCCGTCGAATGGACTAGTACAAGAAACGATTAGTTTGTAGCGGATTCCAGTATGTGATATGATTTAAATAGCTTGAGGAGAAAATGAAATACCAAGCGTAATCGTGAAGACAACTGAAACCCATTTGGAGAGAACAAGATGAAGTTGATAACCACTGCGGAAGCCCGTTGTTTCACTCAGAACTCAAACTTCGAAGCACCGCAACCTTTAAACGCTATTTGCGTGAAGGAAACAGCGCTTTGTGTGCAAAAGAGGCAACCTTAGCTACTACTACTGCCTTGACTGGCCTTCAATAGAGACTATAAATTCATGAATTTGTAATATTATCTTTCCTAATTTCCATGATATTCAGAGTATTGTTATGTTGATGCTATTGAACTGTAATCCATTGGTATTATTATTGATCCGATGTTATTTAAGCGACAATGATTTTGTCCATAACACTAATTCATTCATTCACTATAATTTAAATATAACTGTAGAAACGGATGGTCAAGAGGTTATCGAAAAGAGAATTCTTTGTTCAGTAACCATTCTTTTGAAAATAATTAATAATAATGATCAAACGTAAACGACAAAGAACTTCACTAAGAAACCCAGTGACCATTGTTCGCTTATGCATTTACATCGGGCAAAATTACCACCGAAATAACTTAATTAGCATAAACTAGCAATTCAGAAGAAATTATTTAAAGAAGTTAGCAGTTATACTAGGTTTATAATGTATATGATACCGCACTAACGTAAATAATCCCCACCAAAAGTACAAAAAGACTTGGTATCACATCAAATATTCCAGGCACTGAAAGTATACATGGATCTCTAACTGATATCAGTCCGTGGCCAACACTGAAATTATGTATACAAAATTTTTATCTTTCCCGACTGCATGCGCCACTAAAGATTTTGGTATCCATGACCATAGGTGTTTTAACTGAAATAATCATGTATTTCCATGCCTAAATACCATACCATTGAGAATGTCACCTCTGACCACACTAAAATCTAAACAGCGATTTATTAAACTTAACGAGTAACTAAGCGTTTTTTTCAACGACTATTATGAGTAAGTCATTGAGGCCACGCTTTACCTGTGCCGAATACGACAAGGGTTTATTCATGATGTCATTACTGAATCCTTTATTTATTCACGAATATTTGTAGTTAGTACACCTAAATTACATAGAGTTATTTACTTTTTTAGTTGTTAAAATTGTGTACCATCTCAAAAATAAGCTGAAATTTTCACGTACAATTTTCTTTAGTTAGTCTGCAACCTTTAACAAAAGAAACAGTTTTTTGAATTAAACTCAAATTTATCTTAAGGATAATCATTTATTCTAAACCTCCTTGACATTAATAGTTTCGCCAACTGTACTAATTTTTTAAAATAATTATCAGTAAAATAACTCTGAAAGTCTTCGCGAAATCAACAGATTCTCTAGCATCGGTGTATCACTGGAAAATTGCAGAATACTCAAGTGTAATAATAAGACATAGAAAAATTGAAGAACATGAGAAAACGAAATTTTGTGAATTATGAAATCGCTTTCAAACAAACGTCGTCATAACCCCGGATGTTTTCTTGATAATTTCCAGATAAGCGATATCAACATAAAAGTAGTTTCGAGATTTGAAAGCAGAGTTAGACTAATTCTAAAGAGAATGAAACAACTCTTCAACATCTTTAGGTTTACAATGGTTTTGTAACCAAATTCGCTTCGAATTTAATCACCTGAGGGAACCTTTTCCCTCATCAACATCCAGCAATCAGTTGAAATTCGACGAACAATTCTACTTACAGAAAGATGGTGTGACTCCTCTTGATCCACTCTAAGCTGACTGCTCCATGGAGACCACTGTAAACATTATCGATCCTTTCATCAGTCTACTGCATTTCTTTAAAACACCTACAGATGACACTTCATAATGTGTGATGAGAATTCGATACGATACACACTAGAACGTGAATTAAAGCTGCATTTTGCATTCGTGACTGTGATACTTACTAGAAATTAATATTGGCATACCTAAAGTTCATATGGACTGGACAGTTTATTAACACCTAGCGCCTTGTTCCACTGCTCCGAAAACACAGTCTAGTAAGTACTTTCACACAAGTATTCGAAAATTCGTTGTAGAAGACAAGACGGAGAATGAAACTAAAACCTCTAAGTAACATCCTTTTGGAAAACTAAAAGCCACCCAGATTTATCGACAGAAACAAGGCCGAGGAACCTCCGTTTATGAATATTACAACTGTTCCTTCGGAAATTCTAGAAGTTGACAGTGAAGCGGAAATACCTAGAAACCTCCCTTCATATTGACTGACAAAGACATTCCAAGCAATCACAAGACACGGTTAATCAAGTCATGACTAAAGAATTAGATGGTGCTTCTGGTGTGTGTGTGTGTTTATCATTTGACCTGTTACTGTGGAGCAAAGCATATTGGCAGTACACAGAACCAATTCCGCAAATGTATTCTGGACCATTGTCCAGCTTGGCCAACCACAGCCAAAAGGAAGGACAACAGGTACTCTCTCTACGAACACTTTATTATCTCTAGAAACTGAGCACACCTTAAGACTGCTTCACAATGCTAAACCGAGTTCCTCAATACCGAACGAAAGCACTACGTTCACTCACTGGCCTTATCGTGAAGATGGTAACGTTCCTACCATAAATTCTTCTCATACTGCTGATTTACTTTATCACTGCCATTTTGAAAATACTATTACTGCCATAACTAATACTGTTGATTAATAACGCTGCATTTTTCATATAGACTATAAATAAACCTTTCTGTACGTTTAGACTAATTAGTCATTTTTACACCCATTATGTAATCCCGAATCCCGCCTATCTTCTGGTCCCTATACAGTCAACCCATTCCAAACTACACTTCACGTTACTGATTACATTTTCTAAGAAATTGTAGCCCATATCTGACAGATTTCATGAGTTGTTGTGTTAAATATAAACATATGTCTGTCCAGCTCTTGAAATTGATTCATCAAGAGGAGTATTTTCTCTCCTTGTTACATCTTCTTTTATTCATTTTAGTATTTTTAAGTCTAATATGTGTAACTTTTATCCAAAAACAATAAACAAGTGTCAAAAACGATTTTGTGATTATACTTCTTCATTCAATCTGGACTCACCAGTACAACTCTTTATGCCTATAAATGGGGTATTCATATCTTTATTTAAACGCCTCTAGAGGTTATAAAATTGTATCATATAATTCAGTATTATTATGTCCAGTTCACTTCCATAACTTTATTTCTAAGCTGTAAACTCAATTTCGACCAAGACAAGATAGGGAAAGCATAAATAAATATCATTAAAGTAGAACTAGCTGAAATATTTCTACATGAACAATTTGTCTTTAGTCAAAATGCAATAACTGATTTATTAATCACAGAATTCTGATGTTTTGCGATCAGTCTGTCATTTGATCACCTGAGAATGTGCAGTTCGACTTCCATACATTGAATGACTCAATAAAATTCTGAGTTCAACATTGCAGTATTTTGAAGATGTTTTAAAACAACTGCTTCATGAGTGAATGCTGATATTTGTATTATTTCATTCAATCTAAGCCTTCATTCATGTTTCAGTAATGGACTATAGATTTCGTCACCAATCTGTCAAAAAGTTGTTTTCACCGTGTATCACAATAAACTTCACACAAGGATGCCTATTTACGGTGATCAAATAAATATTCCGTAGTTTTTTTCGCACAGTTTTCCTATTCATATTATTAGAATATCTTTTAGATAAATTGGTAAAAGTTGAACAGTGATATTCTTTCATTGATGTGATTATTTTATGATACTTTCTGGTCATCCGAACTATAAATATTGAGGAATATACTCCGCCTACACTGTGTGATGTTCAATAAGCCTTAATTATAAGGTAACATTAAATATGGAATAAGGTGTTTACATCTGTATATCAAATGTAATGCAGTACCAGCCAAATTATGTACTCCTCTCAGAACCATTTTAAATCCTTTAAAATTTATCAATTATGCTTTCGTTTATGCGAGAAAGGTTACCATCTTCAACTCGGACGTAAAAATCTTCTCTCCTGTGGGGTGATAAGATTAGGGGAAGTCACTTCTAAATATAACAAGCATCCCCGGATAATGCATGTCTTTTCTACTCAATGACATTTTAAACAAATGTCTACAATGTATCATATATGAACAAGTAAATCCATTTTATTCAGTGCAGCCTCGCATTGGTTTCTTGACTTACACTCAGCATATTCGCTTGCACTGCTTACTGTAAAATTAAAAGAAAAGTTTCAAATTAATTTTCATTGCATGCATTTTTCAGTATTTCACTCTAATTTTATGTATTTCTTTATGCAAACTCTTTATTGAAGTATTTAGAAAAGTTAAATAGTACTACTGTAACAACAGAAGACAAGGGCCAGGCAACAGATCGTTTTATTATGAAAATCAACACGTATTTATACATATTTCACATACATTATTATAGACAAGCGCAGTCATCTGATTGGTTGTTTGTCAGAAGTTAGGTAGACAAACGCAGGCTTCTGATTGGTTGTTTCGGGATTCCTTGACAAATAGAGTTCTCTATCTGCGAATCATATTTTGCCACGTTAACTTTGCTGTGATTGGTTGTTGACTCAGCCTTGTTCATATTTTCTCACGGCCCATATTAGTGTAGCTTAGTGTCAACCAATCGGCTAGCAGCCTGCTCTCGCCACACTACGACTATAATTTTCCTAGGAAATTCAAAGTGAAATAATGTAGTATACGGCCTCATTCCTCCTTCACGAATACTATTTACATTAAGTAAACTCGTGACTAGAAAGCTCTATCTCATATAAACTTTAACAGCAATATGTTGTACAATTTGTCATTATATTGTTGATCGGATGGTGTTGTGCTGTCTTTGCTACCTGCCAATCAATGTATTGAACCCCTTAAGGATATTCTCACCTACTAAATGTAAACCATTATTGATGAAATCCAATAAATTTCAAATAGATTTTTACAAAAGTAATGGAAATGAATCAGATATTCACTCTGAGGAGACCATTTAGTCACATTACGCGCCAAGCACGCTCTCGACTGCAACCGGAATGGAAAACGACAGGCTGAGCATTGTTCCAGAGATGACATGGAGAAGAGGGTTTGAGAAAGCCAGGAAAGTTAATGGGAAATCGTGAAGCCAGTCAAAAATAGCTGCATAGAACATAGTGAAATGACGTTAGGATGCTGTTCCACTACGAACCAGAGGGAATAATAATAGTAATACATTTTTACATAAGTAGAAATTTGAGATAAGATTATGTATGATATAAGATTTAGTGTAAATTAATCTCTAGACGATGACTGTAAAAACGTCAGGAACAAATATTTTGTGACTAATTTTCTTGTAAGGGAAACCTTCATGCTTGTTTTACTCTGTAATCTATGCGTCGGTGGCACATAGGTTAGGATTCTCGCCGATCATGCACATGGTCCAGAGTTCGATCCTCTGTCCATGCACACGTGATATTTATGGTCGGCCTGCAAATTTTGGGCTACCTACATAATATGCTGAAAATTCCATACGTTTACCGAAAATACGGCGTGGAATCAAGCTGTAATAAAAAAAATCACGTACATATGTTATGCTAATATTCAAACTTACCCCTATCGACGCATCTTAGGTAACCTGGACCAAAGGAACAAAACATGTTACTATCTGCATAGTAACTAGAAAATATTGGGAAATGCAACCAAAAAGTGTACCAGGGAGCCCCCAGAAGCAAAATTAAAATTTGTCTTTCAGTAGAAGTATCATTCTCCGTATCGTTGATTTCACATATAAAGTTTTCACCTCAACTGTGAAGATTAAGTGTCATTGGAGCTATCATGGTTAATGGATGATCGGACAGCAAATTCAAACATTCATTTGAATGTGTTTTTGCCTGTATACCGTAAACTTGAGTTTTTCATCAGTTTATCCTCTGACAAGATAGTCTAGAAAGTTTTAACTTCCACCAATTCGATTCGATTTCAGATTGAAACAGAATTTTTATGTTTTAGAAAATTTCCTTTCTCAACTTTCTTGATAGTGACAAATGTATTATCATATTTGACCATATTTTGAGTTGACAAAGAAAACTGTTTAGATCCTTTACTTCTAAAGCCCTTATATAAAGATTATTTTACAACTGAAGGTGCTGATGACCCCAGGTTTCTCCTGATTTGTAGAGCAGATATTTGGTGAGAGCGAGACATCAGGGAGACGTCTTGAGTTTCTTTAAAATAACATGCACACGAGCAAACTTGGGTCTGTTATATTTTATAGAGCCTTCCGCTATTAAACCCAGAAAGTTGCCTTCTGTATTCAAAAAGAAGCCGTAGATAGTCTGCCTCCAACGTGGTAACTAGTCAGTTAACTTTAACTGATTATATTATCTTTATTTAATTTATATGTCGACCTCTTTACACTGGTACTAAATTACATCGTCATTTATTACGCGTCATGCTTCATTCATCTGATGTCTATCAAAATACGTCCAACTCACTATATGCTCTTTCACATTTCGTTTACGTATGAACAGTTTTCTAATGACCTCCGTAATCGTATAATTTATGCCCCTAACTATCTTGTCATTTCCCTTAGTCCTCACGTATTATCTTCTATCCGAGAAATTTTAATCAGGTTACAAACTTAAGCACAGCAACAACTTTACATTTTAACAATTCAACATTTAGATTAATGTATAGATTATGTTCCTGCTGGTTGTTCCACATCTTGTCTCCAAAGAAATGATGTATGCTAGAATTGCAATAAAACTATTAACTTTCAACACTCTGGTTGTAAGCAGTTGATAAGACTATGACGAGATAAAAAATGGATCCATCTCATCTGACCTCATGTATTCCTGTTACGTCTCTATCCACATTCAACAAGGAGAATCCTTGAACGAATTTCTAAACTTATGACAGTAAATTTATATAACTGTCAGGAAGAATAAAGAGGAATCATCTAAAAATTAAAACAAATAACCTTTAGACCTTGAATTTCCTGAAATATACCTGAAATAACCATAGGTAATAAGGAAGTTTAACCAATCGTTGTACATGAAAGGGTCAGGTGGAAAAAAGCTTAAAAGTTGAACAGCACTTAATAATAAATACAATTTACGTTTTATTAAGGGGCTTACAGTAAAAGGTTAGTGCGCCAGCTTTATTATATTAGAGTGGGGAAAAATATTCATTCATTATAATAAAGGCTTTTGTATTTCCCAATGAATGAAGAACAAAACGATATTGTTTTTACTGACGTTTCGCTATTTAGTGCTAATAGCTTTATCAAAGTATTATATTCATTTTTAAAATTATTTTAATGACTTCATGAAAACAATAGAAATTTGGTTTCCTGATAAATGATGAGAATTCAATAAGAGTAATTAAGAATATCTTTGAAACAGTGTCAAACATAAGTGATATCAGCTCAGATAGCTTGAACATTTTCTTCTTATTCGAGGGATGTTGTAAATAATGAAGACATTGCTTTAAAGGTAGGCTGGTTCCAGAGAGAAAGTGACTCTACTCTATCTCTCATATTCACTTCATTTTTATCAGTTTTTTTCTGATATAAAAGAGGAAAGCTCATGTGAAAGCCAAACGCCAGTTCACACTTAAACTGCTAAAGCAAACCAAAATGTCTATTGTCATTTATGGTTTATACACCAAGAATTAGAATATTAATATTTAGATTTTGAGTCTGTGGTAATTCCCGTTAACACTCATCAGTGACACTGACTGCCAGTCGCACCAATCCGTTGAACTGCAGCTCAATAACTCAATAGTCAACGAGCTGGCCTCGTAATTCTCAGGTCTTGGATTCAATTCTATGGGGGATGGAAGTTCAGAACTGCAGAACAGTCCTAAAGTATGACAATAAAGAAAATCAACTGGATAATGTCCCCGTTTTTTAATTTCGTAGAGTTTATATGATCAGTAAAATTTACAAAATTTCATAATTAGTATTTCGAGTTAGCTCATCAATTGTTTTCTCACTTCATTTCAATGAACTGTTTCCTAATGAAAATGAGTCATCTGTAGTCGTCACGAAAATTAATCAGCTGGGATGTTACTACAAAAGTATTCCTGAAGATAAACGATGAGTTTCAAGATATTCATTTTATCATTAACAAGTACAGATTAAAAAATTCGTTTCATTTTGTATAACAAAAAGGGGAAAACTAAACTTTCTCTGGATGAGGGCAATCAGTGAGATTCTACGTCGGATTCATCAGCTCGATTTGTCTGTATCATATACAAATGATGGCGTTTCCAGAATCACGGTTGTCAAGCTCTTCATAGAGAGACAATCCTTTAAATTTTATTCAATTAACCATGCATAAAGTGTTTTCATAATTTTTTTAATTCAAAGCAAGTCTGAAGAGTGATTGAGTACTAAAATGAATTCACAGGATTCAAATCATCTTTAATTTTCTCTTAGGATTAAATAACTTATGTCTTGAAACAAATTCAAACATTTCTGTTTACTAACCTCGTGAACATAATCCATCACCTGAATTGAAAATATAGGTGGAGAGCAAAATGTTAGACTGTATAGTTTTAAAAGTGAATGTAAAACTTAGATATCACCCTTGTTAATTTATAATTTTAAGTTAACTCTAAAATAATTATTTGCTCAAGTGTGCTCAACAAAATCATTCACCAGTGATGAAAAAATTAAGAAAATTTCAAAATAGCCTTAAAAATTGGCTTACTGAAATCAACAGGGAATTATTTGAATAAGCAAACATTGTGAATTATATGATGTCTTTTAATTTTTCTAAATAAAAAATTTACTCACAATATCTTGAAGCGTATACGTCTGTAACAAAAGAGAACAACTTTTTATTGTAATGTTACCAGCCTTTGGGCTATTATTATTATTGTATTATGTTATTGTCTCCTTTAACTCCTAGAGGAACAAACGGCTTCAGCCTCACGTCTCCACTGCTTTCGGTTCTCTGCAAACGTTTTCACCTGGCTCCGCGTCTGCCCACATGCTCTCAGCTCCTCTTCACATCATCTCCTCCATGTCACCCTCGTTATGACGACCAACTCGCCACTTTTCATTAAGCGTACACTTTAGCGATGGCATAGCGTGTGATATCACTTGAGAGTTGTTTTCTCAGAGTATGTACAACCCACCTCCATTTCTTCCTGCAGATATATTGCACAGTTGGCTCCTGCTGGATTGGTTCGCTCGCTCCTAGAGATCCCTTCCTGTGGCTGATCTTTTCTGGTCAGCTAACTGATATTCATTAGTAGTGCTGAGCAAAGACAGCTGTTGATGGAGATTTGTAGTTTGTTTGAGGTACTCTTCATGATGCGCCAAGTCTCTGATCTGTATAGTAAGTAGCACTGAATTCACATCGAAGTTGAAAATCCAGATCTTAGCTTACATGCTGAGTGCTGTTCCCCTCCATACGAACTTAAAAGTAATGAAAGCTTGTCTTGCTTTCTCGATCTTTGCTTTGATATCCTCGTAACTTCCTCCTGTAGTTGAAACAATGCTTCCCAGGTAGATGAAGGAAGTAGCTTCTTTCAAACTTCTCCCATTTTTGCTGGCTGATTGTTGTCTGCTGTTTTTGCTGTTGCTGTTAGCCAAGAAACTTCATCACCTCTGTTTTCTCTAAATTCACCTTTAGTCCTAACTTCTATAGATACTTCTTCTGCTAACTTGTTGCTTTTCATTTTAACATCTCCCAGTTTGTGTGAAATCAGTCATATATCATCATCGGCGAAATCCACATCCTCAAAGTTTTATTGTGTGGATCCATTTTATGCCTCTCTTCTAGTTTCCCATTTTCTGTCTGTCGCAATATCCAGTCTACCGGAATCAGGAGAACCATTGGAGATACTTGGCAGCCAGCCAGCATGTCTTACTCCGGTCTTCACTTAGAAAAAGCCATTGCGTAGAAATTTTAATTAATAGAAAATATCGCTAATCTGGATTCCAGCTGCCTTTATGCTCTGTTTAATACGGTATCTACATTGAGCTTTCATTAGATATAACTATCTTAACTACAAGGCTTACTTTTCTACGAAACAACAGCTCGTTTCCTAATTAAAATATTCAATTCTGAAAATCATCATTTTGTGATGAGAGCTATCTGCAAGCCAAAATTGTAAACAACAATATACGTCAATATTTACGTCCCAAATCGGGGTCATGAGAAAAAACAAGAAGACAGCCTAACCTTGAGGAACTCAACAACCAATCACAGTAGACTTAGCGTGTGCAAATACGATTCGCAGATATATAGAGAACTTTGTAAGCAACGGTCACAACAGTACAGAATAACCTTCAGCAAGAGAAACCAATCAGAAGACGTTGCTTCTCTGCTAAAAATAACAAATAGTAATGTACATAAAAATCTGTCTTTGAATTCAAATTCATCAAGGGGAAGAAATCTAAAAATATATGTTGATTTTCTCAATAAATGATATGTTGCCTGGCCATTGTCTTCTATCGTTAAACTTTGACTTACATTCTCTATGGCATATATCTGTACCTGTATTTGCAAAAGTAATTCAAATTGGCTTTCATTATCATCTGAAAGACTTGAGAATCAAATAAAACTGGAAACCAAACATAAAACATCATTATTCTTACATGTCTCGGCTACAAACAAAAATAAATGAAAAAAAATTTCGATAAAGAAAGGAAGACGAAATTTGCAGTATAAAATGATATCATTCTATTTCACAGGTTCTCATCAGCTGCAGACTACCTGAAATTACAATGGTTATATAGATGATAATAACATACTTTAATGTTCGAGTGGTGGTAGAAAAGAGATACTATAAAATTGACGCATCTAAATGAAAGCATTACAATGTTTTTAGTTTAAGTTTTCATCATCAATTTATACGCTTTCAAAGTTGAAAAGAGGGGGAGGGGTAAGAGAGAAAACAGAAAAAATTGATTAACAGAACAGTGTTAGCTTTTAGGTTCACATAGCAACTCAAGAAACAAAAAAAAACGGTTACAGTTTATGAGATTAAGATTTGTTCAGTGAGTTGAGATCACTGAATTAGATGACTAATCAAAATCAAAATTCTGTTACCAAGCGAGTGAGAGGTTAATCACACTATCTTTCTGTATGCATAAGTCTGGTTTAAGTCTTTTGATTGCGATTGCTTCGGCAAATCGTAGTAAATTTGCTGTCCTTTGTCTATTTAATATTTTGAAGGACTTAGAAATCTCTACGAGATGTCTGGTATCAATAATGTGTCTGGTAATTGCACTCTGGGAATATCTGCTTCCTTCCAGGCACAGGTTTTTGGGAATATGTTCAGAAAACCGGATAGAAGCCCTTCTTTCTGTCCTTCCAATGTACTTGCTCCCGCAAGTGCACGTGAATTCATAAACGCAGTTGGAGGTGACATCAGCAGGGTATTTATCCAGTTTTGAGTGGATTAAAGAAGGAGTGGTGCTGTATACTGTTATGAGTTTTGCTGCTGGGAAGCTTCTATTTATTGCACCTTTCAGTCTTTTGTCAATCTTTTGTGACACTGCATCTCCTTTGTATGGTAGACAGATAAACACTTTTTTCTTTTCTACAGTTGGATGCTTTTCTTTCTCATCTTTTTCTCTGCTGTACTTCTGAATAAATCCCTTAGGGTATCCATTTTCCCTTAGGCATTTCTCGACGAAAACTAATTCTTCTTCGACCCTGTTTGGTGAACATAGCTTCCTGGCTCTGTCATACAAAGTCCTCACTAATCCACGTTTATAGCTTATGGGACAAAAGCTGTTATAGTGATATAACCATTGTAATTTCAGGTAGTCTGCAGTTAGCTGATGAGAACCTGTGAAATAGAATGATATCATTTTATACTGCAAATTTCGTCTTCCTTTCTTTATTGAAATTTATCAAGGGAACCAAATGTATGAAAAAAAAATTATTCGTGGTATACACTTGGTGGTTATCATCAAAACAATATCAATCCGAAATTAAATAGCGGAGTTTGAGTGCCCCATCAGTCAGCATCATCTTTTATAAAAATAACAGAAATCACTTTATTCTAAATAGTAACAAATACACAGTATGAAATTTTCAGCGTTTCTCATAATGTAGCTCCTTTTATACATATGTACATACAAAAAATTCAAAATAGTAATAATGATACTAATAATAAAGGAACTACCACCATAAGCAGAATGTTGGTGGAAACACAATGAAGTATCAGTGGATAGTATCATAGATAATACATGGAATAACAATAATCTTCGCTTATACTTTGCAGTTCAGATTACTGATTTAAAAAGTTTATAACTTCTTTTCTTATATCAGACTATCTCTCCACACATAGCCTCTCGTGCTACATATGGTATAGCAGAATTCTTTTATTAAGTTCTACAAGCAGAAACGTTTTATGACGTTTCTTCTGTCTTTACTTGAAGAAAGTAAACATTGAGAATAAAAAAGGATGTTCAGTATCGGAAAAGATAACTTTATTCAAAATTGCTTGCAAGAATTGAAGTGCCTATCAACATTAATGTGAGTTAGTTGAGTCAAAGGCACATCATAAACCCTACTTACAGTTTTCAATGTTCTACATAATATGTCTGACATAGTCTTTTTGGGGAAGTTCAAGGAAGAATAATGGCGAACAATACATGAGAATGGGCAGAATACATGAATTAATAGAGTGTAAGAGAAGAGGTTGAGTCACACCAGCAGATAGTCTCAACTTCTTTATATAAGTCAAACGAAAAATTTTCTTAGAAGTCAACAAGACATGAGACGACTAAGAGAGTTTCGAAGAGAAAGTGACAGCGAGATAGGAAATATTGGATTTACACCTTATCATCACAGTACCGTCAATATCACAGGAATCATGCGACTGAATCTGCCAGTCCACGCAATTCTTTTTTGCACCTGAAACTAAAATCAGCAAAACAGTACGACATTTGGATGGATTCAGTTTAAGACCATTTAGGTGAGACCATTTGTTAAATTTAAAAGGGAATCAATTCATATAAGAACAATCCAAAACAGTAACTACTGGGACAGAAATTTTTACATTATTGGCATATTTAATGAAGTAAGCTTTGGAAGAATATGGAAAGTCATGCAAAAAGAAAGAAAAAAAGGAATAGAGAGAGTACAGCGCCTGAAGACACACCAGTTTACGTTAGTGACGAAAAGGGTCGCTTTCCATTCAAAACAATATGTTGTTTTCTAACCAAAAATAAGACGACAGCCCCCCACATTGTGACCTAGGAATCAGTGTTTTCTGAAATCAGCTTGCCTATCAAAATTGCCTTAGGAATAGATAGAGTCGAAAACAGCAGTGTAATATAAAAAGGAGGCTAGAACGAACTTCTTGCCTTTATCAAGACAATATTGTAATATTGAAACAATATTGTGATGGAGTATAACGCTAGTATTTAATATGCTTCTCCTGCATTTGATAGCCAACTGCTTTTTGTCATTAAAAATTTCAAAGAATGTTTACGAACAGGCAAGATATGTCTTTCCATAGTTTTCAAAACTGGAGGCATGATGGCGATTGACCTAAAATTCAGACCTGTTCCAGCAAGTGTCTTTGGTACAGGTACCATCTTTCATTCCTTCCAGGCAAAAGGTACTGAATCACTGTGAAACAATGCATTAAATGTTTGAATAAGAGAACAACACAAACTGTCAGAATACTTTTGAAATAAAATGTTTGCTTCACCATGTGGTCCTATGCTCTGTGATGGATTTAAACATCTGAGACATGAGAATGCATACTTTTCATTAAAACCAGGGAATGATCATCTACGTGAATACAAACATCAGGTCCAGTCAAACCAGCTTGTTGAATTATAAAATATCTATATAAGGCATTTACTTCAGGATAAGTATCAACTGAAATTTGTATTCTGCTTGTAAGTTGATTTAAAAGTTCCCAGATGCTAGGAGCATTCTGACACTAAAAAAGCTTTTCATTATGTATCTCATTTAGTCTCCGTATTTCAGACTTTATCAGAACGTTTATTGTTCAAACACTTGCATTATCATGTGACTTATACAGCTTCTCTTTATCTCATCCAAGCTTTTTTAATTGTGGAGAAGAGATCCTATTGGATTTCGTGTATACTGTTTCAGTAGGACAGCGAATTTTCAAACAGAACTCCAGATAGGAGGTAATATTACAAATAGTAACGTCTGACATTTCATAAAAGAATACGTTTCAGTCAGTATAATGTAACATGCATCTTGGTGCAAGAATATTATCGCGTGAATAGGATCGTTCTTGGATTATCTTTGTTAGGTGAGCAAAGGCACTTCTGTGTAACCTGCCATACACTTTCAGTGAAATAACGCAGTAATCAAAATTTAGCAATGGAGCTCTCCTTCACAACTCGTATAGGTCACGATCATTTAAAAAAACCAAGTCTAGGGTTTCATCCAGATGAGTATTGAACATGACAATATCTTCGTGACTAAGTGATATAAGAAAGCTTTGATCGCAAGATTTAAAGTCTCAGCAGATTAGTGACAGAAATTTTCAAGAATATGAGCAGAAAATTCAATGAATTCGTCGGCACAGATAATATCAGAGAAACTGCAGTCTGCAGTCATATAAATATTTGTTATGTATATATAAATATGAATATTTATTTGTGTTTTGTACGATACCTAACAGTGATATAGTTGATGTTGTCTCCATTTAATGAGATAAGACTATCGTCAAATTTCTGATGGAGCCAAGTCCGTTGTATAACTAAAACAGCAGCAGTTCGATAAATATGTTACATAGATCAAACGTAAAGTCATGTGCTCGTAAACACGTTCGTGTGTGACTTGGGTAACCAAATTCATAAATAGCACCATTTCGTCGCACCTAGTGGATGGTGAATGCCGCATCAAATAGTTTGTCTAAAGGCACACGTTAGCGTCTCCTAGCTGTAGCTGAAGCCATGGAGATTTATGAGGATAAACCTGACCTATATGCACCTAAAAGCGATTTCATCCTCCTTGCTTACCCTGTCCTTCTCTACAAGGTCAGCAGAGGCATAACCATCCACATTTTCCTGTCATATTATACCTTCTTATTCCTTTTCACTTAGTTCACTTTACTCCATTATTATATTTATGATGTGTCCACCTTCGTGATTTACACTAAGCTTATCATGTCTCCAGTATTTCATTACAGTTCACAATCTAAACTCTATTTGATCACTACTATCGATATCTTTGGGCCCTTGAACTGACATTCAGTCTTCCCTATACCTTTGTATTTGTTTGAATTTATTTTGTGTTAATCATATTTCCCTCACACCAATGAATATAACTCAACCCCATCACCCACCCAACCCCAAAGACACATATTCTGTTGACTATAAATACATTACATATCTAGAACTTATATTTGTAAGATATCAGTGAAATTGAAATCAGGAATTCCGACGATTCGTTCAGCAAACTAGAACTACTCGGTCAAATCTTGATCACAATTCAAGTGAATTATAAATACATTAGCATGTCACCAAGTTGTCTATTCACATTTTATCTAATGTTTTGATTGCCTGTACATTTTATAAACATTCAATTGACAATATTAACTAACGAACTGCCCTTCCATAATATACACGTATCCTGATACAGATTCTGATAGAATTTTCCCTTCCCTTCACTGGCTACTTGTCTTGTAATATTCCTGGATTTATAAATGTAGAGCCTGAGGAAGAAGTTATTGAAGACAGTTTCTCACTCAAAACCATCTTGCTCTGATAACACCATAGTGACTTTCAATTTACACAAATGCTTCAGTGCAAAATAACTTCTATCACTCTTCAGGCCGTCATTCAGAATAAAAAGTCTCTGCAGTTATAATTCAGTGTCTTAGGCAGTGAAAACTAAATTAGTCATAGAAAAAGAGGTTGTATAGAATTCAAAAGTTGCATGAGTTTTCATCTAGGCGCACCTCTGTAGTGAATTCATGTTTTTTAAAGTCTACTTTTTTATGACTAGGTCAGTGTATTAGCCTTTCCAGTATTCGAATTTCAAGAAAATTTTAATACCATATTCTGTAATCTTTGAATGTCCACAGAAGTAGTCTGTTAATTTGTTTGACATTAAATAAGGTTGCTGAGTAGTAATGGTACTGTCTACCTGTTGTGTCTGGACAATCAACACAATTACTGTCGATAAGCCATCATTGTGATTCATTTAGGGATTAACATATTCACTCACCATAGACGTTATCTAAAATTTAGTGATATAAAGACAAGTTTTAAAAACACTTCAAAGATAGACTTTCAATATAGTGTATACGAAATTATTAAACAAACATAAAAGTAATTTCATAAATTTTACAGAAATAATTCAAATCAGATTATGGCTTGAGCAACTCCGTACTTGAATTTGGCGGAAATTAACGTTACGTTCAGTCGACAATTAATGTTGAACATTGCAATAAATTATATATATCAGACACATGAATATGAATTCCATGTCAGTATATTTAAAATCTCAGTAGCTGTGAATATGAAACCATCTAAAGAAAATATAACCTTCGGAAAAAATACTACACAGAGATCATGTCAACGATCTAAGAAGATGGCATTTGATTCAACGATCAGCAGAATAATTTTTTACACGTATGTATTGAAGCAATTCAAAATTAGAAGTTTCTAAAATGAACAGGGTATGAATGACTACATAACTCAGGAATCTTAAATATTCAGCTTATTTCATATCTATACCAGATATATGTTTTACTAAATGCCAATGAAGCTATGAACCGCCAATCTTAAAATAACATAGACTAAAGTAATAAATTTGAACGAATTTAATATTAGGAAATTCAATTAAGAAATTAATTAATCCTTTCAAATAAATTGTACATATAATGAATAATTTATTTCTATCTAAATAATTTCCGTATTTGGTCCCATTATACAATATTTCTTATACACTGCCTTATACAAAATTTTATTATTTTATAAAGGTGACCAGTATATTTCAATATGGATAAGATTTTATTTTGATAAATGGAACAGTGTTTTACAGTAATAATTACTGATGACCACGTTTCGAGCACAAGCTATTGCTCATAATCATATGAGCAAAATAAAATCTTATCCATAATGAAGTTATAATCTACCGCAGCGCCCAAGTTTTATACTTATATCAGTGACCAGTATATTATTCAAAAAGTCTATTCTATGTATGTATTTTCAATATACCCTCAGAAATTGAAAATATTTAATCTAATTTCAGTTATAATATTCAACTTTTCGCATCTGGAGTCAGTATAATAGAAATTAAGTCCTAAACGTACCACAAGAGGAGACTTTTGTGACCCAAGTCACCTAGTGGATAACTTTTTGGCGTCTGAAATGGTGGAAGCTAAATTCAAATTTCAGTGGCTAAGTGATGAATCAGTCACTGGGATACAGTAAAACTCAGCTGATGGGTCCAAACATCGGACAAAATGTACCTCTAGTATCCTACTGCTAACCACCTCCAACCGAAATAGCATCTTTCCTACTCAATACTAAACATGAAATACGCACTTATATTCAAAATAACATTTATAAAACAAAATCTGTAATGTAAGCAATCATATATCTGTGAAAAGAGAATACAAGCTACTCACTGTAGGCCAGTAAGAAGAGAAGAGCAACCAGGCATTTGAACAGCATTGGCATTTTCCTTTTGTTTAAACGCTTGCGAAGAACACTGAGGACAGTTTGAAAACTCGACTCTTTATATACACTTTTTTCGAGTTGATAACACGTGATGGAAAACGAACTGTCATGAATTTTCTTTCATGACAAGGGGGGAGAACACTTCAAAACAAACATAACTGATAGCTCGATTGTCATTTCATAACTTCACTATTCGAAATTCTTCTTATTTCATTAGCGGTATTCTTTGATTGCTATTCGTCATCAAATCATGTGAGGTATTCGACGTCTATCAATCAAATAAACGTGTCATTCAAAACTTTCCTATTCATTCGAAACAAATTATGTCGAAAATTGACGAATGAAAAATAAGAATTGAGACATCGCTTATCTACACCACACAATTTTTGGCATTTCGAATAATTTTATTTGAGAAAAATCAGACAGTAGAAGTGCTACAATTAATAAAAGAAAATGAAATATTTCGGCATTATTCACTATGCAGATAGATGAAGTTCTTATTGAAACGATGGTCCTTAGCACCGAGACACATTTGGAACAGTAACAATCACCGGGGACGGAAGATGCAAGGACCAGATACATCCATTAGCCGATGAGTCCAAAGTGGACTGAAATGTGCATCCAGAATCCTACTGCTAGCTACCGTGGAACAACCAAGAATATTATCAAGTATAAATTACCAAGGTGAGTTTATGAAAAAAAAGACGAATTAACTTTACTGCTATCCCATCAACGTATTTCACTATGAACCCCTGAAGGTTTTCATAGATAATTCTGAAAGGTTTGTTGATTCATATGAACTATGCGCCTTGAAATAGGAGAAAATGATTGTCTGCCACAGTTCCACAGTTCAAATGTCTCTTCATATCATCTACATATATATTCTCCTGCTGTCACATGCAAGGCGCAGTTGACATTCCCTATGTCATTGTGTGACTACACAAACACGTAAATTATATTAAATGATAGAATGTGACAAAATCACTTTTGTAATGTTCGGACTTTTTAAATTTTCAATTATGCTTTTAGTTCACTTTTACTTCAATAATTATTTCACTGTTATCACTCTCATGTGTGCCTTTTGTACATTTTCGCACGCTCAAGTACCACCTTTATTCTCACTCAATAAAAATTTTAACCTTATCAAATTTCTAAAGCTTCTTTCCTTCGTGCCATTAAGTATTACGTAATTTACAACGTTTATTTTTTACTTCTGAAGCCACTAATCATTAATTATATCAATTATGTCACCCCAGTTGTATTACTTAATAATAGACTACTATGCATTTTCGGTAAACACAAATACGACTGTACAGCCTGTGAAGATGGTTTGTTCGATAAAGAAGCATTTCCTTCCCTGAATTTGTCTTTTGTTTTCTTCCTAACTCAATGGATATTTACGCTGAGTACTTTTAAACAAATACTCAACCAAGCATTCTTCATAATGTAGTAAATGGAAACTGTGAGAATTTAGACAAAGCCCGACGCAAGTAGGCCTTCTATAAATCTATCTCTTAATAGTGTAATCCTCTCTCAGATTCAAAGAGTGTCTAGGAATACAAATCAGCTGCAATATCTTCCTCATAGTTAAGATTTTTGTGATTCTTAACAGAGTTAATTCTATTAAGTAGATGTCTCGCACTTACATGCCTATTACACATCATAATAATATCATCAAATCACCGCCTACATAATTGTGATTTGTTTATTGAGTAGTAGGATTTTGAATCAGAAATATTTTCTACTATCATAGTTGAATTTTTTCTCAGTTCTTCTGTCATTTTTACCAATATCAGCTAGTAAAACTGCTTCTCATGTGTTGATAGTCTGATTCTCGCTGTTAAACAATAACTGTAACACTTATTTGTAATTTAAACAATTATCAAGTGATAATTATTATTTATTATTATTATATCCTTTAATTCCTAAAGGAACATTAGGCTTAATCTGCGCGTCTCCACTGCGTTCGGTTTTCTGCCAACTTTTTCACCCCTCTTCAAGTCTGCCCACATGCTTTCACCTCCTCTTCACATGACCTCCTCCAAGTCACCCTTGCACTGACGACAAACTAGCCGCTTCCCTCTCGGGTTCCACTCGAGCGATGGCCTGTCTAGTGATGTACCTTGATGGTTTCCTCAGCGTATGGCCAATCCATCTCCATTTCTTCTTGTCTATTTGTTTCACAATCGGTTCCTGGTTGGTTCGCTCATTGCTAGAGATCCCTGTTGCTGATCTTTCCTGACTGGCCTTCTGATCTTGAGTATAGCGCAAAGGCAGCTGTTAATGAAGGTCTGAAGTTAATTTGGGATGCTCTTTATGACGCGCTGGCCAAGTCTCTGATCCGTATAGTAGCACTGACTGCACGTTTGAGTTGAAAATCTGGATCTTATTTTTCATACTGAATGCTGTTGACCTCCACACAGATTTGAGAGCAATGACAGCTTGTCTTGCTTTTCCGATTCTGGCTTTGATATCCTCGTCAGTTCCGCCTGTAGTTGAGACGATGCTTCCCAGGTAGGTGAAGGAGGCTGTTTATTTCAGGTTCCTCCCATTTATGCTGATTGTTGTCTGTTGTTGTTGTTGCTGTTGATGTTGACTAGGAATCTTCATCACCTCTGTTTTCTCTATGTTCACCTGAAGTTCTTTCTATCTTTGATGCTTCTTCTGCCAACTTGTTACCTTCCACTTGCATATCTTCCAGTTTGTGGGAAATCAGACATATATCATCGGCGAAATCCAGATCCTCCAAGTCTTTTGTGTCAGTCCATTTTATGCCTGTTTCCTCATTGCCCGTCGTCTGTCGCATTATCCAATCTACTGCAATCAAGAAGATCATTGGTGATAGTAGACAGCCTTGCCTCACTCCCGTCCCCACTTCGAAGGCTTCCGTATGTTTCCCTTTGTGGACTACTTGGCATGCAGCATTGTCGTATAACTGTTAGATGAGATGTATAATTGTCGATGGGACCCCGTAGTAGGGAAGTAGTTGCCAAATCACCTCTCGATCGACGCTGTCGAAGGCCTTTTCAAAGTCGATGAAGTTGGGATAGAGAGGTGACTGCCATTCCAAGCTTTGTTCAATAATGATCTGTAGTGTGGCGATTTGATCAATACATGACTTGTTTCTCCTGAATCCAGCTTGTTCCGGTCGAAGTTTTTCATCCAGGTTGGCGTGTTTGATTCTCTCCAGGATGATGTGGCTTAGTATTTTGCTTGGGATGGACAGGAGCATAAATCCGCGCCAGTTTTTGCATTGACTTAGGTCTCCTTTCTTTGGTAGTTTGAATAAGTCTCCTTTCTTCCAATCCTCGGGTACTTTGCCCTCTTTCCACACCTTCTTCAGTAATGGCGTCATCAAGTCCGCTGTTGTCTCTGGGTCCATTTTCAATGCTTGTGCTGGGATTCCATCTGGTCCTGCTGCTTTTACAGCTTTTATCATCTTGATTGCATTCAGGACTTCTGATTTCGTCGGGGTTTGATGTCCACTGGTAGTTGTGCTTCCGTTGTTGGTATTTTTCGGCGCGTTGTAGGTGGCGGTCGATTTAGAAGTCTTTTGAAGTGTTCAGCCCAGTGTTTTCTTTGCTCTACTTCTTTCCTGATTGGCATCCCTTAATGGCCCAATCTGTGATGAACTTTCGCCCGATAGGATCCTAGTTGTTTGGTAGAGTGTGGCGAGCTCTCCTTTGCCTGCAGCTTGTTCTGCTTCACTTGCCATGGCTTCATAATATTTTCTTTCATCATCCCTGGCACTCTTCTTCACTCTTTTCTTCAACGTGTTGTAGCTTGCATTCAACTCCTGTTTTTGTTGCTCGTCGGTGCACTGGATAATCTTTTGTTTCACAATCCTTCTCTCTTCTATTGGTTTCCAAGTGTCCACAGTGAGCCACTGTTTGTCCTGTCTGTTCTTTCTGCCTAGAACTTCCATGCAGATTTGGCTCCACGCCGATTCAAGTTGTCCCAGTGCTTTACGACGCCGACCTCTTCGCTAGTGTTGATTTGTGTCTCGACTTTGTCCCTTACGCTTGCAATGAAGATGTTCTTTGTATCTTGGTCCTTCAGCTTTTGAGTGTTGAACTTGGCTTGTGGTCTATTCGCAGCTCCTGTTTCCCTGTAAGCTTTGAATTTGATTTGGATTGTCTATTGTACGAGGTAGTGGTCTGAGCCAACGTCTGCTCCTCTTCTTGCTTTTGTGTCCAGTAGGCTGCGCCTCCACTTCCTTGAGCAGCATTAAGATGAAGTCAATTTGGATTTTGGTTTGCCCATCTGGTGGCGCATCATATAACCTTGTGGATATCTTTGTGTTTGTATACGCTGCCATCAAATCACTAGTTCATTGAAGGCGCAGAATTCGGCGAAGAGTTCTCCATTTCTATTCATTTCAATGAGAGCTTCTCCACTCATGATGAGTTCCCTTCCTCTGTTGTCTGGTCTCAGTTTGGCGTTCATGTCTCCCATTAGTATTTGAATGACGCCAGCTGGAGTTTTGTCAATTGTTGCCTGTAGTTGTCTATAGAATTCTTCTTTCTTTTCGAGGTCTGCGTTGTTTGTGGGTGTATAACATTGTGTAATTGACACTTTCCTTCCTTTGGAGTTGAATCTGGCGGTCATTATCTTAAGCGAGATAGCATCCTATTCCATAAGGGCCTTCGTAGCCGTTGGTGACTTCATGATAGCCACGCCTTCAGTGTGCGTGTGGTTATCTTCTGGGTGATCAGAGTAGATCACTCACTCACCCGTTGACAATTTGGTGAGTCCATTTCCGTTCCATCTGCTTTCACATATTCCCAGCACTTGGATTCCGTATCTTTTCATCTCGTTTTTGATCTGGGCAGCTTTATAATTCTCATGCATGGTGAGTATGTTCCATGTCCTCACACAGATTTTTTCTTTTGGCGCAAAGAGATTCATCGTGCTGAAGTTTCTGTAGCAACTTTGTTTACAGGGTGGGGTTGCTAGCCTCACGCCTGAGAAACGATTGGTTACATCAAGATAAAGTTTAA